GCTCAGAGATGGGAAACAAAATATGTATAGGGAACTGCCTACCACACACGTGAATAATTACACCCAGAGTAAAAAACCCTGCATTAAGCGTTGTCGACGGCAGCTACTGCGTTTTCCATCATGTTTATTGCTTACAAATTACATTACAAAAGAAATTTAGTCCCTTTTTATTGGAGTGCTTAAGCAAAGACTGTTAGTGTTGCAGAAGCACTGAAATGCCACTTCTCCAGATAAGATGTCGTCTGCAAACCTATGTAGTTACACTCCAGGGTTAAGTGTATAATTTTACTAAAGGACTCGTTGAGAATGATGCTGTCATAGCATCAGGATTTGAAAAAAAAATAGAGGCAACTTAGAACTGCATTTACGTATAAATACACAGCCTGTAAAAATGCTGGAGATGAATGCAGAGAAGGCAGGAGCACAACCCAATAATCAATATTTTAATTACGGGATCTGTTTCGTATTGGGGTGGGAAGGGCTGTGCAATGCTATAGGCTCCTATGGCTACACGAGGCTGACAAGGAGGATGTTTTTAAGCCCTCTGGATTGTAATGGAGAAGGATTCACTCCCCAAGCCAAACTCCTGGAGCAGGTAAAGCCACTGGCCGGGCGATGGGTGCGACTGTTGTGCCTATGGCGCCACCTGGGGGTTGTCATAAAGATGCCTTTAAACAATGCAACAATCCCAACTCCTTTCAGACGGCTCTTTCCTAGCTACAGATAGCTTCCTGAGATCTTTTGCACAGTGGCTGATGATGCCTATAAACCTAGATGCCGATCTAAAGCCTCCCACAGGCTTTTTGTTCCAGAATTGCGTTGGCAAAGATGACCAAAAAAAAGCAACACCCCCCCCCCCCTTAAAAATGGTTGGGGTAGGAGCATCTGGTTAAACCAGTGATATCTGCATCAAAGCAAGGAGCTAGCAGGAAAATAAAGATTTAGAAAATAGAAACTAGTGATTTAATTTACTATGATGGGCTTGAAATCATCTTCAATAAATTATAGGCCACTCAAATGCTGTGCATCAATTAAGACCTTTCTCCTATTTGCAGGTATCCAGGTTGTAGCCCTCTACTCTAGAGGCAAAAAAGAATCAGGACTCATGGTAGAGGTGGTATCTTTTATTAGAGCAACTAGATTTTTGCTATTTTTAAAAACAATCTAGTTGGTGTAATAAGATATCACCTCTACCACGAGTCCCGATTCCTTTTTGCAGAGCAGTTTACCTTTCCATTGTGGTTACATGCTGTGTTAGATTATACTTTGGGCTGCCTGTTTTTACTACCTTGTCTTACGTTTCCATTCTGAAAGAATTAATCACACATTATGACTATTGCACTAAAATATGTGTTACTTTATTGAACATTCCCCAGGGAGGAGTTGCCTGGCTAATATTTGTGACGGGTAAAATGTGCCAGTATGATATGTGAATATTACATACCAGTGTAGTGTGTCATTGTCCTGTCTCCCCCCACTACTCATACAGACACAGTCATGACAAAGACAAATTGAAAGGAAATGTGCTGATTCTGATATGATGGAACTTGAAGCTGACACTGTTTTACAGACTGAAAACTGTCAACCAGAAAAACAAAATCTGGAAACAAATCAACCTGAAAAATACTACAGAAAATCAAAAACAAATACCTACCCCTAGTCACAGCCTCAGTGATACCTGCTGAGGACTTCATTATTGCTATCAAGTGCATATAGAAGGGGCTTTCATACTACAAGGGTGGGTGTCTGCATCATATCCTCAGATAGATAAATAGATCTGAAAACATTTGCTTCAAATTTTGCAAATTCAGTACTTGACCTTCCTGATGCATTCCTTCTGGATTGATACAAAATAGTGTTCTGAATTAGGCCTCAATTCACAGGGTGCCTAAGTGTGTGTGTAACATTAAGCAGGTCATGTTCTGGATCCTGACAAATCAATGAGATTTTCAGGTGCTTAACATTAGACATACATTTGCTGAGCCTGTGCCTAATTCCTTTTCCCAGGACATTTTCTTGCACATATGCAATAACATGAGCTACAGCTATCTAAGACAGTGCATCTGAGGAAAACATTTTTGATAACAGAGGATGCCTCACTCTAGTAGGCAAAGGTAGGAAAAGATTTAATGACTGGAAGTTGAAATTGGATGCATTTAGACATGAAGCAAGGCACAATGTTTTTAACAGTGAGGATAATTAACCATTAGAAAAACTTATCAAGCACTGTGTGGCTTCTCCATCACCGAGGAGTCGTCTACTTAAGACTGGATGTTTTTTGCAAAAGGCATGTGTTAGTACTAACAAGAATTAATTCAAGGACTGTCATATGCTGGAAGTCAAAGTATATGTTCATAATGGTCACTTCTGGACTTATAATTCACAGGATTATACTAAAAATGGGTGAAAACTTGCTCACACAGAAATCAGTAAGAATTCTGTCATTGACTTTAGAGAGTCTGGGATGTCACTCATTATGTAATGTTCCTTTACAATATGTGCTATAGACTTGGATGTTTTCAAACGGAGCCAAAGGGAGTTTGGTTACCTACTGATAGTCATGGAGCAGTGACATTTACTGGAAGTTTGGCAGACAAGGTTCTTTGGGTGAATCTGATATCTGTTATTAGACCAACTAAAATAGTTGGAGAACAATTTTTAAGCACGCTTTTGGGTTCAAAAACCCTTCATCAGGCTAAGGAAGTATCAGCAATTGGTGTGTGCTCTTCCTGGATGGAATGAAAAGTAAAGAAGCCAGAGGCTGGTCTGGTATGCATACAAGACAGACAGTCAGTGAAGTTTGGCACTTAACTCCCTTAAGCTTGTTTGAAAACCCCTGATCCCCTACTGGAATGCCAGAGGGTTAAGAAGGGAACAGCTGCTATCATGCTAAATCTCCATGTTTTCATCAGAATTCTGATACTTAATTTTAATTTTCATTTGTCACATGTTACATATACTTTGGAAAAAATGTAGTACTAAATGAAAACCTGACATTCTTCCCTTCATCTTCGAATGGAAGCTCTCTAGTGGTTTTGTGTCAGTCTATGCTTTGGCGATTTGAGGTGCTCCATCATGTGCCAAGGCCTGGTGCACAGAGATGCCTCTTCAAAGCAGAGTTATATGCATATTTGTCAGAGGAGATCCTCAGAGTATCTTTGGAACCATGACAAGCTGTTCAAGGTAGCCTGGAATCATTTTAATCATAATGTGAATCAAATTTTCTGGTTGTATGTAGAGCCAGCTTTCAGTCAACAGCTCTTTCTTTGAAAGAGAAAGAATCGGCTAAGAGGGCCTAGTCTATATTACAGATTATCCTTGTCAATTGCTGCATTCCATCCAATGAATGAGTAATAGGACCCAAATAAAGACCAGTTCTGTTTATTTTGCTTGCTGGAGAAACCTTACTAAAATCACTGGTGCAACCCATGGGTTGGATCTTGCTGATCCTTACATGCATACTTATATTTATGCTAGTAAGTAATTCTATTGATTTCAATTAATCTTTTATATTGCATAACGTTCACATATACCTTGCTTATAACCCCCGCTAAACATTTATTCACTCCCTGTAAGTGTAACCATAATATGAAGTGTGATTAAAAAATTCCATACAAAGTTTCAGCTCAAAGCAAATGTGTGTTTACATTATAAATCACTGAAAAAATCCCAATTATGATGGAAATGGGTTTTAACTCTAATGAAACAAAAACTCCTATTGTAAATACAACAAAGTGGAGATCAGTCAGTGAGAAGACTTCAGGAAGATTTTAATTTGGTTCTTATCGGCTTTTCAAAGCAGTATTCCTTCAGGTTCTAACAGCAGGTAGTTTTGTAGAGATTTGGGCACCGGTAGTAAAGGGATAAGGGAGTGGCACTGGTGGCCAAACTTCTTCCGAATGGCGAAGCGGCACAGATGTTGCAGACACCGGGCTCTGCATGACAGCTTAAAGACAGATTCATAGAAAGTGAGGTGCCTCTGAAAGGGGAGAAAATAAGTAAATCTTAAATTCAAGCTTTGGACAAGCTAATCAGAGCATTTTCCAGTTCAGGACAGTACTGATTAGACTAAATTTATGATTACCAGTATACTGGTATGTTCGTGAATGAATAGAACAATATAGTGGTGTGATACTTGGAGATAAAATGTAAAGGTAAAAGTAATTATTCTAAGGAAGGACCACAAATAAAATTACCGCTGATACAAAATCTTCAAGAAAATCCTTTGTGTGTGTGACTCTAAATGCAGTAACTGGCAGTAAAATTCTGGTATACAGGTATAAAACTGTTGTGTGCTGACTAGGTATGAGAGACATGGACATTTCTAAGACAGTGTTTAATCCGTCGGGGGAAACAACTGTAGAATGCCATTATATGAGAGATTTTGTTTTATTTTCAGCTGTGGCTGGGTTATATCTAAAGAGATGAAGGAATGTAATTGTATTCACTAGAGCTGGCAATCAGTTGGTTAACACTTAGAGATGAGGTGTGGCCTGGTTTCCATTTAAAACAATTCCATTTAAGTCAAGCTAGGGGAGAGGAGGATGGAAGCTGGGGTAAGAACATATTTTATTAGACAGAGTAGGAAGAACAGCTTTGTGATTAAAGCTGTGCACTGGAGACTTCTACTTTATTTTGAAGTCTGCCTCAGACTTCCTGCGTGTCCCTGGTCAACTTGTTCAATCTCATATAGGTAAAATGGTTGTTGTGAAGCTAAATGCATTAAAGTTTATTAGATGTTCAGGTGCTACAGTGTTATGGGTCATGTAATGACCAAAGATAGATAAAGTAAATAATCTGGAGTACATTAGTATACTAACTGGGCAGCATCTATACTTTGTACCACTTTCTGCCATGAATCTCACTCTTTTACCAGTGCAACAATGATGTCATCTCGTGCTCTAACACTGCTGTTGACTCTTCGCTGCTTCATCTTTTCAGAGGACTAAAACATTTTCAGGATTCTGTAATACATCTCATCAGGAAGGGATCTGTCCTCACTTCCAGAAACAGAAATCTCCCCCAAAACAAAACGCCAGCTTTGCAGTAAATTTTTCCTGAACTTCTAAATTTGGTTGAATGAATCCAGCCTTTCCGTAAGAGGCTAAAGGGACGCAACTCCCCTGCTTTTTCGTGGAAGAGATATAGTGCCTCTCTACTCCTCCACTTCTACATGCCTCACCTGGGACCTGGACCAAACTCCTTAAAGAATGAGAGGGCAATATGAATTTCACTCTTTGGTTTCCATATGGAGAAGGCTGTGGAATGAATGCCCAATGGTTTTGTGATGTGGAAATCTGCCAATGACTTTTGGCTACTACTGATTTTATGACACGTGCCCTGAATGGAGCAGGGGTCTTGTTTAAAGAATGCCAGTGTGCTCATGTCGCTTAAGATTGTATCAAAATGCACACAGGCAAGATGCACTTGTACTTAAGGCAAACTTCAATCTGGTGTTTCCTAATGTATGAGTGGTTGGCTTTGTTGCCTTCATAAAAGGTCTTTTGATGCAGTTTTCTATGTGTAATTGTTGTTTACAGTGTAGTAATGTTTAGAGATGTACGTGGGGCAAGGCAGTATACAGACACATGGTAAAAGCAGAGTCCTCACTCCACAGCTTTTACAATGTAACTATGCAAGACAGCAGCATAGGGAGAGAAAGCAGCTTAAGGGAGGTCACAGAGCAGATCTGTGGGAGAACCAGTTTCCAAAGTCATATCCAATACCCGGTGCTGTCTGTGTCTCTGATCTGAGATAACTGAGCTTGTAATCTGGAAGACAAAGGCTCTCTTTTCTTTTATCTCCTCCTCTTAGCTGTTCATCACCCCTCAAATATTGTTGTTACTTTCCAAGATTTAGAGGGGAAAAAAAAGGAAAGTGAATGGAACCAATTCCTAGTGTTTCTCTTATCAAGGACATTGGGTTCAGTAGGTAGGGCTTGTACAAACCTTTGATGAGAGGCAAACTAGAGGAGAGCAGCTGGCAATTTTGTCCTTTCAGTTTTTACTTCAGAAGTCTGAAGGTGCTTGCATTATGTACACCGTCACCACTTGGTGTACATTATCCATGCTACTTCCTGTGTAGAAGTGATATTAAAAATATACATATTTGTAATAATCTTGGGACTGCACTCCCAAACTGATTGATGTAAATAAGGAGAATCTATGAAGTTAAATCAGTGTAAAACTGCCGCAATGAGACTCTGCTCGGTTGTATGTAAAACAGTCCCAGAGGGACCATCCTTTCTAAGGGAAGCTTCAACACGCTTTATTTTTCATCTTGGATTTCCTTCTTTTCATTTGTACAGGCTGCCAGATACTCTAGCTCTCCTCAATAGTATTTGAATGTTTTAATTTTTCAGTGGAGGATCGTTACTAATCATTTTAAAAGCAAGGGGTGTGGATTTCCTTTGTCTTGTACTTTGTTTGCCCATCTATGCCTTTACAAGGTAGATATCGGAGGCAGTCATTCTAATGGTGAGGGTGATAGGGGCGATACAAGGGTTGAGTCCCTTATCTATTGCTTAATGAGGTCATGGGCCCAGCTGAGTTCTAGCTAGTTCCTGCTGGTCCAGTCAGCCTACCTGATTGATCCTGGCCCTCCATTTAAGAAAACCTTTCTGACTTTTGCTGCACAAAACATTTTGTTTCCCTGATCTACACACCTTCACCCCCTGCCTTGATTTCACTCCTGGTTTTTGACTCATGTGACAGTTGGCTCCCGGCCTTAGTTTGTCTCTGTCTCCTACCCTTTCCCCTGGCATTCAAGCTGCAGATCTTCAGCATTGAACCCTAGCCTACTACCTTGGATCTGTCCCTTGCTTTTACCCCTCTGACTTGGCTTGTCAGGCTATTGACCTCTGGCTTTTGACCTGCTCCTGGTTTCTTACTAAATGTTAACGCACGTGGCTTTAGCTGTTAGCTGGAGCTACCCCAGACCAATCATGCCAGGAGGAAACTTGAATTGCTTGGAGTTACATGAACATGGGATTGCTTAGTACTCTCAGGAATGGGATTTGAACTGCTGATTTGGTAGGCAGACCTACTTAACTGGTCACAGGAACCAGCCCACAACTCACTCACCTGAAATATTTCCTCTGGGATAGCTTCAATCCATTTCTCAGGGATGGGAATCTGAGAGTAGGAGTTGAAGAGGATTTCGATGATCTCTGGCACAGATGCACATGACCTCAATACCTAGTCATGAAAGAATGAATGTAGAAATGATGTTATGAGGTTTCACTGGGGAGCTGGAGTGGGTGCTGTACCCAGCAGGTAAGTGTCTTCATAAGCTGAAACATGAACCATCTGAAGCTTCACTTCCCATCATGTCACTTGTGGAAGAATCAGATGCTTCACAAATGGCAGCCTGACTCTGTTAGCCAGTTAAATTTGTCACTGCTTGTGGATGGTGCCCTTAGAACTGAGAAAAGTTTGGCTCTGTGCAAGTTCCTAAATCTTGTTCACACATGAAAGTATTGGAAGAATTATTGTGACATTATTTTTTTTGGATGCAGCATTTGCCTTTTGCTTACATGTTTGGCTTGTACATTTCAAGCTGGGATAATATTTTCTTTATTGTTTGATGTAAAATCAATGAAACGCAAAGCCATAATGAGACTGCTCTGAAGGCAGAAGTACCAAGCTGGTCCCCCCTGGCTCAGAGATAGCCATTTGGGCATGCAGCAGAATCCAAATCACCCTAATTATGACCTATCCTAACCCTTTCACCACTAGCCATAAACCTATCACTGCTGAATATTACATTCCACTTTTTGACACTCCAAGCAGGAAGGGGGGACTCTAGTGAAAGATTTCTTTCCTTTTACAAGCCAAAGTGAATTTGGGCACTCTCAAAGGATACCAGAGGGCACATATCTGCTGTCTCTGACTGTGGTAGGGGGTGCTGCAATGAGTGTTTCTCTGTGTACATCAGATATCAAAAAAATATTGTAACTGCCATTAGAACAGCATTAGGTATGTGCACATCAGAGCCTGATCCCTGAAAATGGGGCTAGAGGTGCATCAGACAGTATCTACAGGATATATCTTTGGCATATGGTACACCATCAACAGGAGTGAAAAGATGGGGCATTTTTTTTTCATGGTGGAATGCCGTAGCATGGTTTGACAAAAGCCACCATTATACAAAGCAAAGCATTCTAGGTAAAAATTTTAGAAGTGCCTAAATGGGATACAAACCTGCATGATCATTGAAAGAGATTTCCAAAATGTATTATGGGAACCCTTGAGGTGGTAAGTCCTTCAGGCAATAAGCCTCATTGCAGGTCAGTGAATCTAGGGCTTCTGGTTGTATATGTCCATTTTGAAAATGAGACTTGAGAGCCCAAATTACTTGGGCATCTTTAAAATGTTACTTCTGCAATGACACAGTATTAGAACATAAATACAGACTGGCTTGTTACCATTCTTAAATGAATAGAGGCTCAAAATTCACTCCTTGACCAGTGAACTGGGCTAATGCCTTCCTTTAAAAAACGGTATCTGTCCCTTTCTTCCCTGGCTTAAGCAAGTGAGAATTTAGCATCCAGGAAAGGTGCTGGCTTGACACCTTTGAAGAGTTATGTCTTTCACTCAGAAGAGGACACTACAAACTTCAGCCCTCACAGACTTTAAGGGCTTGTCTAAACTGCAGAAGCAATATGTCTCAGAAATGGCGGAGTGAGCATGCTTCACTAAAGCTGCTCTGGGTTTGTCCTCGTGGCAGCTCTCCAGCCCCCTGTCTCTGATGGACCTGAGAATAGCCACTAGGGATGAGCTCCGGACAGCTTCACTGATGAACTTCTGGACCTGGAGCATGCCAGTGGACTCAGATAGGCGGGGGGTTCTTGGCTCCCTCTGCCGTGGGACTAGCTGCTGTAGCAATCTTGACAAGCCCTAAGTCTATATCTATACCACACTCTGCAGAACCTGGGACCACTGCTGAGACCATCTGCTCTTGCTCTGTGTGCCCCTAAGCCTGGCAGATAGGCAGAGCAGGTGGCTTAGAAGGGTTTTAGCTGCCTGCTCCAGCATATCACTCAGGTTCTTTCAAGCCAGAGAGCTAAAGAGCAGCACCGGGGCATTTGCTCAGGACCCCTCTAAGCCATTTATGCTGCCTATTTCTGGGCTTGGTTGTGGATATTTTCTTCGCAGTAATTCCAAGCTCTGCATGGAGGAGTGGGAAAGAGGCCATATCTCTTTCTATCAGGACTGCTGCCAGAGGTGACAACAGATGCCAGTGGTGTGATATAATCTCCTGTTTGTTGGGACCATTTCCCACAGCTTACTGAAAATCTCTTAGATGCTAACTGCTTCCAGTCATTTCTTTTGGCCTACATTTGAACCAGTGATTAAGAGGCAAACTTTTCTGTAGTACTTTCAAAATCAAAGGTCTGTCTGAGCCTAGAAAGCCATTTGGGCTGGCAAGGCTAAGGAGGCATGCTGGTTTCTTTAGCCAACAGAACACAAGGGAGCAATGACAGTCATTGTACAATGATAGCCCCCAGCCCAGTGTTATCATCATCACTGTCCAATGTGTCCCATCCTAAGTGACCAGGCAGGTATCTATTTGCAGCTGGACTGGCTCTTGATGGCCTTTGCTCCTGGCCTGAATCTAGGCTCAAACTCATGTCTCTGGAATTTCAGTGAGACTCCCTTACTGCTCTGCCCCTGCACACATGCTGCTTTACCGATCCCCTATAATAACCTGTCCCCTTGAAAAGGTGTCTTTAATATGTAAGCTGGAGGATCTCAGTCTGCATCTAGTGAGCCTGCAAGACCATACCTTTACAAAGGCTGTAGGCCATATTTTTTGGGAGCCATAGTTGAGCAGTGTCTGCACTGTGAGATGTGGCCTCAGCTCCTGCTTGAATGCTGCAGTGTGCAGGACACAAGCCATTGGGGAGGATCCGTTGTAGTCTATAGCATTCACATCTGCTTTAGTCTGCAGCAAAAACTGGACCAAGCTGTAATTAGCATTTTTGCAGGCTTTGTGGAGCGGGGTTTTCTGTTCTTCATCTGTGGTATTTACATCTGCTCCATACATAATCAGCAATCTGCACATCTGTAAGTAGATTTCTTGGTCTGCAACATTTTTTCCTTGTCCACAAGTCACACTGAGTGCTGTTTCTTCCTGACTGTTCTTCTTATCCACATTAGCGCCGTACCTCAAGTACAAGTGGGCATGCTCATAAAGCCCGTGCTTAGCTGCTATGTGAAGTGGTGTTTCTTGGGTGTCTTCACTTGGCAGATCAACCTTAGCACCATATTTCACTAGAAGCTTGGCACATCTGGAAAAAAATGGTAACATTAACACTTAAGGGAGTAGAACTGGAAAGTGATTTTTTTTGAGTCAGAAGCTGGCTTCACTCCATTATTTGGCTATCTTTTCTGCATCCTATTAATCAGAGCACTAAGATTATCCCTGACACTAGAGAAGATAGGTCTACTAGCCTCCAGCTTGTTGGGTGAAGGCCACTTTCACCAGGGCTTGTTCACATAATTCAGGTGCCACTATTAGGACAGGTCGGTAGGTTGAAGGGATAGATATGATGCCATTCAGGCTGGCATGGTTAAATTAGACCTTTATGTTGTACCAAAGTATATTTAAAACAAATGTTTGGCATTTATTTAAAAAGGAACTGAAATGTAACTTGAAGATGCACATGCATGACAGTTATTTCTGGGTTATTTACTCTGCATTTAACCACTGTGTAAAATTACAGCAGGATCCCTGCTGGACACATGACCTCCACTTCGGAAGTAATCTGCAATATGCATTATTACAGTGTCTCACCACTAGGTGCCAGAGGAGTCAGTAATACCATGTTTGTATAGAGTAAACACTTACCTCTGGGACAAAACTGACTAGAGCTGTAGACGCACAATTGTACGCCAGTGTATCTTAAATGGATGTGTAATTGCTTTTCACTTTCTAAGACATAACTGTGCCCTGGAGTGGTATATACACCAGTAAAATGCTATACTTTGTGTGTCCATTCCACTTTTATCCCAGAGGTAAATCAAATTACTGCAGAGTAAATACATGTATAGCATGCCCATACCTTCAATCATGTTTTTTTTTAAGTACTGACTGTTTGTTCAGTTCATAGAAATAAGGGCAGGTGTTGTGCTGAGGAGTTTGCAGTACCACTGACAAAAACAGCAGACAGCTAAGTTAGGACACGAGGGTGGAGGAGAATTTTGTGAGCTCTTTTTCTTTTTAGATCAGAGATTCTCAACCAGGGCCCCACAATGCCTGAGATCCTTTTAAGGGTGACACGGTTAGATGTACAAATACCTACACGCGATTTGTAAAATAAACCCAGAGATTTAGTGTCAAAAACATTCTGACCTGCTATAGTCTTTCTGAGTTCTTTGCAACAGAAGAATTGCTATGTTATTTTCCTGCAGTCAAAAAAAACAAATAAAAACCAAGAACTGGCATTTTCTGAGGAGTGCCTTGAGTCTCACAAAGGGCACCCTCAGTCTAAAAAGGCTGAGAACCACTTTTAAATAGTATTTCACTTGTAACCTAAGGACAATGCAGAAGTTGCAAATATTTTGGAGAGTTCTGAGTGAGGAGCTGGGAGATGCTTGGCAAATTGGGGTGGGGAATACAATCCAAATGATTTGTCTTGGGCAGAACAGAGAGGGATGAGACCCAGGGTCTGAGACACAGTTGCATACAGACTTTTGAATGGGCAACTCAGGTGTTTTAACTTCCTAGGTGTAAGATCAGTAGGACAATGGAACAAGCTGCCGACAGATGTTGTAGACTCTCCCTCACTGACAATTTCTAAGAGGCTGGATAGATATCAGTAGTATAAGGCGTCCATCTTGGACAGTTTAGGAGTGGATAATCTTGCATGTGTGTGGGGGGTTACACTAGATGACCCCTGAGGTCCTTTCTAAAAATATGCAGTGGGGAGTTTGATGAAATGGAGGGATTATATAGGGGGATATGATCAGTAGGTATGGAAGATGGCTTTGACATTTATGCTTGTAAGCAAGGATAATCAGGAACTAGGGTTTAGTAGCATCTCCCACCCCTTGAAATAAGGAGCTTGGAAACATACTGTGTAAGCTGGGTATACCCAAAAGTGTGCCCTATCCTCAATCGGATGGGTTGGGTAGGCAGGAGGCGGTGCTGTGAGAGGGATGCTAGAATTTAGGGCGGATCCTCTTTCCTTTATAGAGTTAGCTCAGGCCCAAAGTTCTTAACTATATGCATTTTATTGAGTTGTAAACATTTACATATATAAAACTCTTCAAAATAGATACAGGTATAGATACAAATATGCATATAACAGTCTGTTAGCAAGAGGAATTCTGCTCCAGGGAGGGCATTCAGGTAAGTACCCCTGCCCCAGACCCAGAAAAGGGGTGGATCCCAGGACAGTCAATCCAGCAAGTCTATATTGCAAGTGAGTTAGCTAATAAAGACGTCCTTACAGAGCCCATTATACAGAAGTAATACACCTAACTATTTAAAACACCAACAATAGCAATAGATACCAAATAGGAAGCATAACTGTACCAGATATTAGACACCCCCTATCTGGGTTCCAACCACGTGGTCCCTCAAATGGGATAGGGTCTCTTCCCCCCGGGCCCCCTGGGTGTTCCACAGAACCCTCCCCAGTGTGTATCTGGGGTATCCTCCCCTCCTACCCTGGGGAATGGAGGATGTGTGGGGACTTCCCCCCTGCCCACTCCTCCCAGGGTTCCTTGTAGGGCTTACGAAGCTTCAGGTGGTGATTCAATTCAGAGGAGATTCAGCCCGATTTGATGGCCAAATCTCTGAATCTGAATCGAATCAGGACCAATTAAAAGGTCCGAATCAATTTGAAGCTCTCCAAATCTTTGGAAAAGATTTGGAGAACTTTGAAGATTCGGACAGTCCCCAGTGGCTGCAGCAGGGAGCTGCAGCCGGATTTGGAGCTGGTAAGTAGGGGGTGGGGGCAGCAGAGGGAGGCCTGGGGAAGGAGGGAGGAGATTATGGGGGGACCGCTGCCAGCCCCCATCCCCTGCCTGCTCCCCCAGCCTCCTGACCTCCGCCCGCTTCCTTAGC